TCTCATAATTCATCCATTGGAAATTCTACATAAATTCCCTACATAGAGAGCAATCGATCACATATTGAAAACATCGAGTTTATATGCTTAAAATACCAAACTACCCACTTCCTAAATATCTGTTAGAGAGTGCTAAAGATATAGAAAGTTGACTTGAGTTTTTGTAGGAGGAGAACGTAGGAGTTCTCTGTGATCCGTATGAGATAGACGATCCAGAGGTCAAGAACTGTTGTAGGAGCATGCAAACTAGGAGGGTCTTGGTGATTACATGAAGCAAGTCAGAAAGTACAAAGAGTTAGTTGAGTTTGGACCATACTGCAAATCAATTCGTCTATAGTGGATTTTACTGGTAGTGTGCTTGGAGTTTTTTTTTTTATCCCACTAGGAATTTTTCTCCATTATCATATCCTTGTTATTTATTTTCTGCAAATTACAAACTGCGATAATTCAACATCTTGGTTAGATTTGTATGTGAATTCATCTTAATTAAATATTTATATTGACTTGTTTCTTTAAATATTAATAAATTTAAATTATACATAACAAAACCTATTTGTCCCATCTAGGTGTTAGTTGCATTGAACTTTGATATTTCGATTTCAAAATTATGTTTCAAAATAGTTGACCGTCACTGAAATTGACATAGGTGACAAATTTTTTGCGCAATAGAGTCAAATTTGAGTCAAGCTCAAGTTACAAAATCCTTTCAAGTTGAACCTTTCAATGTTCAAGTTTAGCTCAATATGTTTCAACTCCTCAAACAAATACTCAATTAATCTAATTACATTTCTTGGCCTAACTTCGTTGAAGTGAGAATAGCAATAGAAAAATAATAACAAGACCACAAAAATTTACACAAAAACTTTAGACTGGAAATAGTCACTGACTAGAGTAGAAATCCACTACATAAAAAATGATTATAAGAGATGATCATTTTGACGGTCACTCTTAAGTAAAACAATGAAATCATAATATAACATCATATATGTATATGTTTGTGCGCGCGCGTGCATGAGACAGAGAGAGGGAGAATAGTAAAATAGGCTCATACTATAAGGTGGAGCCTCTGCATCCCAACAGGATCAGTGGTGGGATCAGTCTATCCTTTCGCACCATCATACTCCAAAAAAATCTCATAATTTTAGCCCCTTTTTGGCCTCGTTATAATGAGATTTAAAAAAAAATGTATTTTGAAATAATAGTTTTTGAAGAATGCGTGGATTAAAAAAGAAGAAAAAATTTTGAGATTACATATAACATTATTTTATTAAAAAATATGTGATTGAAAAGAAAAGAAAAAACGAATTATAACTTTAATGGGGGCAAACAGAAGTAAAGTGGAAGTGGAGCCCTACAAAATAAAAGTTATCAATTATGGATGTTTTATTATTCTTTACGCTTATCTTGCTTTAACTTGGAAATCGATTTGTTTGGACTCTAAAATATAATCACTTAGCAAATTAAAATTTATAGTTTCCCTCTCTCTAACCTCAAAATTTTATTTATTTAGTCCAAAAATAAAGGAATAAAAAAAGGTGAAAGAATAAATAATATATTCGTAAGAGAGAGAAAAATCTCATTGAGCCACCTTTTAAGAATCTTGTATTGTTGAAGCAAAATATCAGCACCACCTTCTATGAAGATTTAGATAAAGACGAAGCTTTGAATATTTTAAATTAATTATATTTAATTTTACATTGGTTTGTAAAAAAAGTTGTACTTGATATAAATATGTTTAAAGATGGTGACTACAAAAAAATAAAAATAAATAAATAAATTGATTAGATGTACGTAGTTGCAACTACTGTTTTTGGAGTTAAGCAATTGTCATAAACATTTCAAGATTAATGCCTACACGTAATGTGTCAAATCATGTGTAGTAAGTAGTGTTAAACAGATGTCATCTGTGCATTGAGCTAATATTGTTTTAGCCCGTTTGAGCCCTATTCTTTTGATAAGAATGAATTTTTAAATAATATATTGATGAAAAATATATGATTAAAAAATAAGAAAAAATTTTAAATTTCTATATAGTATTATTTTATTGAATAATGTATGATTGAAATAATGTCAAAATAATATTTAACAATATATTTTTTTCCAAAAAATGAGGATAAAAAAAGGGCTTAGTTTCTTTTTCTTTTCTCTTAGTATCGTGTAATAATATTAGGTTAATTCTATTTGTATCGAATTTGAGATATCGAAAGTTGTCCTCCCTCTCACAATACACACGGGCCCCGAGTAAATATAGAATTCCTAAATGTGGTTTACATCTCCTATTGTGAGTAGTAGGTAAAAGATTAACTAAAAAAAATTATGTATATATAGCATTACCCATAATATTATGCTGTCAATCTTGCAAAACATGTCATGAGAGCCTTTTGAGTTGATTTCATTTTTTGTTATTGAACTTTCAGTGAAATTATAATTTGGATATTTATAGTGTTGTTGAGCCACATTATTTTGAAAGAATGTATTTTGGAATAGTAGATTGATAAAAATGTATTGTTAAAAAATGTGAAAAAATTTTGAATTTAAGTATAATATTATTTTATTAAAGAATATGTAATTGAAATGATATCAAATCATTATTTAATAATGTATTATTTTAAAGAATGAGACTCAAACGAGGCCTTAATTTTACTTTGCCTCAATCAAACTATTGAACCTCAATTACTATTAATGTCAGCCGCCCTGTTAGCCCTTGTTTCCAGTATTAATCTACCCAGACAGGGTCATGACAACCCATGAGACAGGGTTTTAAAAAATCCAACGTGACGGGGCTTTTCACCCATTTTGGAGGGAAGTCAGAAGAAACTAATACTCTCACAAAACAAAACGCGCCCTTATCAATTGGGTTAAACCCTTTGGACAACCCGTCACCCAAGAATGGTCCTGTTTCTAAACCTAATATCATTTATTAGCAATCTGTCATGGCTGCAAATTCTTTCAAATAAAATGTGCTTAAAAATCGACAGTAGTTCGTTTATAGAGCGTACTCAAAGTTCCATTCATCTCATGTTTCAAAATTTTGCAACCACGACATGGTTATGCAGTATACTAATCTAGAAAAGAGAAACTAACATAAGATTGAGATGTTAGATTTAGTAATTGTGACTTACGGGGTGGCTAAATTGAAAAAAATAAAAATAAAAAATGATTCAATTAGGACAAATTAAAGTTGTATGGCCTAATTGATATTTTCAATGAAATTTCAATTAATGGCCAAAAATGAGGCTTTCATATGCAAAATCTCGAGTTTAATTAATACAATCAATTTGCTTAATCTAATTATATTCTTCTAAATGTATTTATTTGGCAAAAGATTCAGTGAGATTCAGAGAAAGAAAAATCCAAGTTTTGGCCATCACAATGATGCATATAGATCCAAAACACATGGGACATGACTCAAACAAATCAACCTCTGGTTACGAAATGCAAACGATTTCTCGATATTTCACTTGGAAGGGATGGAATATAATCATCAACTTTACAGACCAAACATAACTACTTTTCTAATTAATGTTTAGTCAATACCCTTCAGGATGTTGTCCTATGGTTCTACACTAGATATGTATGTTACCCATGTATCCTTCTATACTCTACAATTGCATGACTTTCTTATTGAACAATGCATGTGAATGTTTTCCGCTTAATCTCTTAGTTAGGGTGATTGCGAATTTATAATTGTCACATAGACATAAGATGTTTTGTCATGTAACAAAGATATATTGATAGTAATAGACTTGATCTTCTGTCTGTAGTTGTAATACCCACTATAGACGTGACAGCATGTGGTGTTGCCACATCAATAGTGGTTGTGAATTTATACTTGTAACATAGACATAAAATGTTTTGACGTGTAACAAAGATATATTGATGGTAATAGACTTGATCTCGTGTCCATAGTTACAACGTCCACTATTAGCATGACAACATGTGGTGTTGTCACATTAGTAGTGAGGATATGATGTGGCAATATCATATGTAGTGATGGCAAAAAAATTCATCCCGCCTCGATGGGGCAAAAAAATCCGTCCTGAACGGGTTGGAGGGGAGGGGATGCCTCGACCCATGAAGGAAAAAAAAGAGATTAAAATTAATTTTATTTTTAGACAATTCACCCATTAAAAATCCATTTTGAATTTATATTTTATTCTCTAATAATAACATAATTCGAAACTTTGAAAATGTAAAAAATAAAAAATAAACAAGGTAATAAACCAGGCAAAAAGTTGCCCCGCCCCGTTGCCATCCCTAATCACATGTTCCTACACCAACAGTAATCATTATAACTCTTGCTCATTGTGTACAAGAGATCAAATCTGATTGATAGTAATACCCCAACACCAAATTATGCAGCATCAACGATGAAAAATCCTGATACTACAATGATGATAATGTTACCACTATTTACCAAATAATAATAATAATAATAATAATAACAATAATAATAATAATAAATAAATAAATAAATAAATAAATAAATTTTGTGATAAATTCTATGATTAAAAATCTCCTCGGTGATTTATAGATCGACTAGCTTATGTGTTGTTAATTACCTATAAATTATCGACGAATTGATTCAACAATGCTTTGTGACAATTGGGACCGTTGCAAAACACTCAAGCTATTTTCATTAGTAAATTCTAATTAAACGTGAGTCGCTATTACGGATAGCATATAGTTGTGAGTAGAAATTAGCCATTTGAAGTGGTATTTGCAAGCTCATTGAATAATGAGGACCATTCAGTGTGTGAAGTTTGGTGGGCCGTCGTTTACCGGTTCACATGTGAAGGTTGGTGATGGGCATCATCAACCTATTATTGTTCTTTAACTACGATATATTCTCAACCGCACGCACCCACCCACCCACACGAGTAACCAAATATAACATACATTTGAGCATAATCATATATGATAGATGGCAGTGAGATTTACTGAGGCAGAAAAAAGGTGTTTGGGGTCGTCATTATATTACAGCATTGAGGTATAAGTAGCTTTTCAAGAAAAAGTAGAGCCATGTCTTTATTAGCTAAATAAACTATGGAAGAAACCAAGAAAAAATAAAATTAAAAAAAGATGCCTTCGAGGCGTACACTGCACTAAGTACAGCCTTATATATCCTCACCAGTAATTCATTCTCACCTCACAAAGTTCTTACACAAAACACAACTTTGTTCATTGCTTCACTTTCAAGTATATATTTCTTATCCTAATTGTGTGATAGTGGTAACAAAAATGGTGTCCAAAAAGCCCAGAATTGTGATAATTGGCGCAGGAATGGCTGGCCTAACTGCTGCTAACAAGCTCTACACGACTACAACCTCGAAGGAACTTTTCGAGCTTTCGGTTGTGGAGGGTGGAACAAGAATCGGTGGCAGAATTAACAGTTCTGAATTTTGTGGTGACAGGATTGAGCTAGGTGCTACTTGGATCCATGGAATTGGAGGCAGCCCAATTCACAAAATTGCTCAAGAAATCAATTCACTAAAATCTGAGCAGCCATGGGAATGTATGGAGGGGATTTTGGAGGATCCTTTGACGGTAGCTGAAGGAGGGTATGAGCTTAATCCATCATTTGTTGAATCTATTTCTAGCCTTTTCACAAATCTGATGGATTTAGCTCAAGGGAAAGTGATTGATGAAGATGGTGAAATCGTTGTGCGTTTGAAGCAAGCTGCAGCCGTGACTGCCGGAAATCTCAGCGTTGGTTCTTTTCTCCGGCAAGGCCTGGATGCTTATTGGCGCATAACTAAAGACGAGAAGCTGGATGTCAATGGAGTTGGCAATTGGAGTGGAAAATCACTCCAAGAAGCTATTTTCGCAATGCACGAGAACACGCAAAGGACTTTTACATCGGCCTGTAATTTGCATACTCTTGATTACAATGCAGAAAGTGAGTACGAGATGTTTCCTGGTGAAGAAATTACTATTGCAAAAGGTTACTTGAGTGTGATTCAATCACTTACTTCTGTATTACCGGCTGGTTTGATCCAATTAGGCCGGAAAGTGGTAAAAATCGAATGGCAGACTGAGACGAAGAAGAATGTGGAGATTAACAATGGATGGCCAGTTAAGCTACATTTTTCTGATGGATCAACTATGTATGCTGATCATGTGATTGTTACTGTTTCGCTTGGAGTTCTTAAGCAAGGAATTCGACAAGATTATGGATTGTTTAGCCCCTCATTGCCTAGTTTCAAAACAGGAGCAATTTCAAGGCTGGGATATGGTGTTGTTGACAAGATGTTTTTGCAACTAAGTAGTTCAAATGATGACCAAGAAATCAATGGTTGCAACCCAAAATTTCCATCGTTGCAAATGGTTTTTCATCAATCAGATTCCAATTTCAGGCACCCAAAAATCCCTTGGTGGATCAGGAGAACATCTTCTCTATCTCCAATTTACAGCAATTCTAGAGTCTTATTATCATGGTTAGCAGGCAAAGAGGCCCTTCATCTTGAATCCCTCAATGATGAAGAGATTCTAAATGGGGTTTCCACAACTGTCTCAAACTTGTTACCCCATAACTTGTGTAATTCTGCAGGAGTTCCTCAACCAAAATTTGATAAAGTTTTGAGGACAAAATGGGGCACTGATCCTCTCTTCTTGGGGTCATATAGTTATGTGGCCGTCGGATCAAGTTGTGACGATTTGGATTCTCTGGCCGAGCCGCTACCAAATGATTCGTCGTCATCATCCTTGTCGTCTCCACTGCAAATTCTGTTTGCAGGAGAAGCTACACACAGAACACATTATTCAACCACTCACGGAGCTTACTTTAGTGGTCTTAGAGAAGCTAATAGGCTTCTTAAACACTATAATTGTGTTGGTGTATGAATATTTGTTTGTTGCAGTGCTAGAAATTAGGCAGCTTATTTTCTTTGCTTTTACTTATTTTCTACATTCATTTGGAAGATTAAAAAATTAAAATATATCTTTGTTAAGCCAGTCTATAAACTATAAATGTTGGGGGCAGTGAAAGGGAGAGATGGGGACATTTACAGATGTGCTGATCAAATTGAATGAATTAAAGGAAGTTTCTTTTCTATTTTCTATTGCTTTTAGTTTTCATTAGTGACTTAAGTTTCTTGAATTGCCAACCCTATTATAATGTCTTGATCAATCTTCAAAGCAAACAAAACCCAGTTCTTGATCTGAATTTTTATACTAAATAGAATAAGATAAAGTAAGATAAAGAAGCTTTGGATCTCGTCATACTCTCTTTTAGTTTGGTCTCAAGACAGGATCCGTAAAAACCGCTTACTTCATGCTACCAAATTTTGATCTATATTCCTCTTCTAATTGTACTGGTATTTGCAAAGAAATAACTAAAGAAAACCCATGATTTTAAGGGTTTTCCTTTGGGTTTTCTGGTTCCTGAATTTTGCTCACAGTGGTTCACCAGAAAATAAAATGGCAAAAGTATTTAAGATTGGGCAGTGATTTTCCATGTTTGCCACAAGTCTTCTGTCTCACATTGAGCAGTGGAAATATTATAATATTTCTAATATTTTATATCATGTAAAACGAGGACGTATTGAACATGTAGAGACCATGAAAGATTTAAGCTTCAATTTCTTCTTCTTCTTGAGTACTATTTCTACTTTCCCACTTTATAAGTTTGTCCTCACACACAACACCATGATTTTAAGGGTTTTCCTTTGGGTTTTCTGGTTCCTGAATTTTGCTCACAGTGGTTCACCAGAAAATAAAATGGCAAAAGTATTTAAGATTAGGCAGTGATTTTCCATGTTTGCCACAAGTCTTCTGTCTCACATTGAGCAGTGGAAATATTATAATGTTTCTAATATTTTATATCATGTAAAACGAGGACGTATTGAACATGTAGAGACTATGAAAGATTTAAGCTTCAATTTCTTCTTCTTCTTGAGTACTATTTCTACTTTCCCACTTTATAAGTTTGTCCTCACACACAACCAAAATATACTTGTGTTTTAAGCGCTCTAACTCTGTAGACATAGAAGTGGAATTGTTGTACTAAACTAGGGGTGTACGGAATTCGATTTGGACGGTTTGTGCTATATTTTCAACTCAAACCATTTTATGCAGTTTGAAATTTTTCCAAACCAAATCAAACCATTTTATTTTTTGAACCAAACCAAACCATAATTTGTGGTTTAGTTCAATTTTAATCCACAGTTTATCTATCGACAATACAGCAATATATTTAACATAAGTTAATATATAAGTTTGAACGATAACTAATAATGTTAAATGTTAAATTACATTTATATTTACTATGAAATCCATGAATAAATTATTTTCAAAATTATTGCTAAAAAATATTGATAGAACAAATGCATTTTTCTTCGTTTTTATTTTCTTTTTTGACATTCATATTGTCATATAGCAGTTGGTAAAGGTAAAGTTACATTCTACTATTATAGTTTAGTTAAAACCCTTTTCGTCTTACTAGTGAGATACTAAATTAGGATTGAACATGATATGTTTTGATGTACGGATATTGATAGAGTTTTCGATTTATTGGGAATTGTCGAATTTCATTCTCTAACTATTTTATAAAAGTAGGAGATAGTTGCTAAAAAATATTGATAGAACAAACGCATTTTTCTTCGTTTTTATTTTCTTTTTTGACATTCATATTGTCATATAGCAGTTGGTAAAGGTAAAGTTACATTCTACTATTATAGTTTAGTTAAAACCCTTTTCGTCTTACTAGTGAGATACTAAATTAGGATTGAACATGATATGTTTTGATGTACGGATATTGATAGAGTTTTCGATTTATTGGGAATTGTCGAATTTCATTCTCTAACTATTTTATAAAAGTAGGAGATAGTAGTATTAATTAGAAAACTTTAATATTTTCACACAATCAATACGCTCTGTCCTTCATTGTTTCTAAACCACAAATAAGTTCATTAATAATTTAGGCGCACAAGCAGTCATTTTCCTATTCAGATCACAACTCACAAATGTGTAATAAGTTCAAAAACAACAAATAAAAGAAATAACAATGGAAAGATGATTTGAATGAGAATCTGAGACTTATCGAAAGAGAAGAGAGAAAAAGGTGATTCAAGTAAAAATTAGCAGACTAACAAGCAAAGGCAACCGGTGATTCATTTAGCAGTAGTAGACAAGCGTTAAAGGTTAGGAAAACGAGAGTTTATGTTAGACTTTTGAAACTTTTGACGTAATTTGCTAACGTAGTTTTGTTGAGTTATGATTTGATTGTTGAGTGTGTGTGTGTGTGTGTGTGTAGTTTAGATATCAGGTGAGAATATGTGTTGTGAACTTGTTAAACCATAAGCTAATAATGATTAACTTAATTTACATTTTATGATTATTTCAATAGTCTGGTTATAATTTGTATTGCTAAATTGGTATTTTTTCTGAAAAGTGAAAATTGTAAAATTTTGGTAGACAAGCGTTAAAGGTTAGGAAAACGAGAGTTTATGTTAGACTTTTGAAACTTTTGACGTAATTTGCTAACGTAGTTTTGTTGAGTTATGATTTGATTGTTGAGTGTGTGTGTGTGTGTGTATAGTTTAGATATCAGGTGAGAATATGTGTTGTGAACTTGTTAAACCATAAGCTAATAATGATTAACTTAATTTATATTTTATGATTATTTCAATAGTCTGGTTATAATTTGTATTGCTAAATTGGTATTTTTTCTGAAAAGTGAAAATTGTAAAATTTTAAAGTTTTTATTAATGTTTTAATTAAAAAATTTAAAAACTGTCCGGTTCGATTTTGTGCGATTTTTGAAAATTAAAACGTAAATCAAATAAATTTGAATCCAAACCAATAGTTTCAACTCAACGATTTCGATTCAATTTGCGATTTCGCAATTTTTTTGTGCAGCCTGTACTAACATATAATCCAACGAAAAGGAAATAGTTAATATCCTACAAAAATTTAACATCTAGTAATTGTATACTTTATGTCTTGTCGTTTGCAAGATTAGATAATGCAATAACTACATATACAAATGTCCAAATTTCAAATAATGAGATTATACGTTAATTTAACAAGACAAACAAAAGTTGCTTAACTTTTTGATCAAGTAAAAATAATTGCGACAGCTTATGGTGAAAAAAACTTTTTGATCAAGTAAAAACAATTTCTTATGAAAAATCACCAAACAAAGTCCAAATCAATGGTGAGTCAGGGACACACGTCCATATTAGGGACCCAAAACAGTGGCATATTCAGCCAAAAGACTCAAATCAGAGTTTGCTTCCACAACCACAACGTGGTTAAATATAATTGTACAAAATCTTATTGACAAAATGGTGTACTTACTCTGACAAAATTAGCGAATTTCTCGTGAATTTAAGAAATTTCAGCTTGTGATCCCTACCTCTATTATAAGTAGTGAGTAAGGGAGTTTGTAAAAAAAATTTGTAAATGTTGTATGATCCCCGAAATGGTTTTAACAAAGAGCCAGTAAGTATAGATGCTTTTGTCCTCTGATAAATTTTGATCTTTTTCTCCAGAAACCTCTCCTAGGTTTAGGGTACCCCAAAATTAGCTCACCAAATACAGTTGGGCATTAATAGTACACATAAACAGTGCCCCAACCCTATTGAAAAAGAGTAGGCCTCTGTTTTGTTGCAATTTTTTATCGAGAAAAATTAATTTTTTGACCATTATTTTACTATTTCAACTGACATTTTTTTTACTTTTTCACTATATGTGAAACCTACTTTTTTTTTTCTAACGATCAAAAAATCAATTCTCATAATCACTATCGAACAAACCCTAGATTATTTTATAGAGCAAATCAAAATATCTCTACTTTTTATGATATAAAATCTTCTCAATGATAGGGACACAATATGGCTATATTGAACCATTAATGGATAAATGTAAAACAATCACATCCATTATTATTAACCTCACCTCATTATATTCACGAGTATAGATTGCAAGAAACATAAAATTTGATAGCCTGTAAAACAATCACATCCATTATTATTAACCTCACCTCATTATATTCACGAGTATAGATTGCAAGAAACATAAAATTTGATAGCCTATATCTTAAAAATGTGCATGTTAATGAATTTAAACTATCTCTCTTATAACTAGGTGACATTATTTTTAAAAGTAGAAAAATATTTTATTTAATGAAATTGTATACGTATCAAGTTTTGATGGGAATGAATCATGTCTACACATGAAGGGACACGTTAAGACAATATATAAAAGATTCATATAAGGTATTATCTAATAATTTAAAATTTTAAATTAAGTGGTGTCATTCAATTTCGACCCGAAACCCGAAATTCCAAGCTTTAGGAGTTGTGACCGTTAACCTTCTGTCGCTTTAGTTCTTTGAATAAAGTATAACAATGTTTTCTAGAATTTGCATCACCACTTAGAGGATAGGCTCCCACAATTCATAGAACCAAACACAATGATTTTCCCTAGTGTATCTAAACAAGATTTTTTGTTTGCATTGAAGATGTAGGGCTGTGTGGGGGTGGCATTGAATAGTCTAAATCAATCGAGCTGTTCATGAAGACTCTATTATTGAAAGAATTGCCAGTACTCATGGCTAAAGGGGTGTTTGAGAGTGATTTTCATCCCAAAAAGTTGAATTTTTAACCCTTATTTCATTATTTCACCAGTAAAATTTGATTTCTTCTTTCACAGGTGATCTCCATTTTTCTCCTAATGGTCAAAAAATTAATTCTCAAAATTGTTCCCAAAGGGGCCCAAATAAACCAAAATGGCCCACTTCATGTCTCTTTTTGCCTCATGAGATTTAAACTTTCTATCAATCTTTGATGATTGGGCATATCATATCACTAAAACCAATCTGTCACTCACCCCATCATTTTTTT